GTCATATCATATACTACCATCGTCAGCGAGCCACAGCTACACTATGCAAACCTATGGCGTTCCTGCTGTCGTTCATCCCTTGGTTGTTGTACCCTTGTTGGTCTTCTGCTCACAATGCTTTAAGCGATGTATCATGGGTGAGCCCTTCTCAACGGAGGATCCCTTCGTCCTGTCTGACGAGGCCAGCTCTGATGGGCTATCTAAACTGGGCAAGTGGCTCCGGGATACTCGTCCTGGTGCATTTATTGGTCTATGGGAAACACATCGAGAAGAGGCTGTTCTAGAGGACGGTTTGGATTCTCTCCTATGTATTGCTAGAGCTGCCGATGGCATGCAAACTCTACGCTCGTGTGATCAAGTGACATCAGAGAGGCTCTATAATTTCATCCCTCAATCTGGTCTGCCAACACCTGCTACCACTGGTCTAGTCTCTGGCCGAAACGGCGAGCCTAGTGCTAGGGGCATGTGGCCCTTGGCCTCAAGGTCACTACTTTATAGGCTCATTATCACCGAACTTGTATGCCCTCTGTGTGAGTATTTGAGGCATACTGTTGGACCGGGGGATCTCGAAATCGACGCCGCCGAGATGGCAGTCTCATGCCTCCTTATTGGATGCACTAGCTGCGACCAGGACGTACGGAAGATCTGCGTTTTGAGCATATATGATAACTTTATGCCGGAGGCGGCTAAGTCTCGAATCGACGATAGACTGGCATGGGCGCTATCTAGGATCAATTGGGAGTGCATCAGTGACCGCTACTTCATACCGGTGCTTCTCGACCTTGTCCTCATCCCTTGCGACTTGTTGAAGCCGGAAGATCCTGGTGACAGCGACTCTACCATGTGGTCGTCAGAGGCTATTGGAGAGGTGGTGAAGAAGATGGAGGACCCTCGAGAGAGGCTGATGCTTGTTCACGAGGCCTATAATGGTTCGGTGGACGTGGCCCATGAGGTGTGGGTCCAGGTCTTTTCTCAACTGGCCTCAAACAGAGCGGTCCGAGCATGCCAGTACTTGCTGAAGGAAGTCACGTTGATTGGCCGTCAAAGTGCCCTCAACCCAAGCGTGCCTCAAACCCTCCTTGCCGGCCTAAATGAATGTGAGGGTTGCGATGGGATTGATCCTATCATACTTGTACAGGGTGCCTGCGATCACCGCTGCTGGTCTTTGGCATCCGACGCACTGCAGCAGATGGCCGTTGGCAATGATGATGTTACCGCGATGGAGGCTTGGTGGGCTATCTTGGACCTATGCCGTCTCACGGGAGATCCAGAGACGGAGCTATGGGCTCGCCGAGCAATGGGTGTAGAAGACGCGGTGCTCCAGGCCGACACATTGCTACTGCAAGGTCACTGGGTTGATGCTCAGAGTATGGTGGAATCTTGGCTCTCTCAACAGCAGCAATATCCTGGCCAGACTCGAGTTGACGATGAGACTGTGAAGGCTGCTACGACGGCTTGGGTGGCATGCACAAGAGAGCTCAGCTGGTGGAGTGTGAATGGCAGAGGCGAGGAGTCGTGTATATTCGGAGACCGCCCGTTATTGGAGTTGGAAATGTCATCACGAATTCAAGATTGGAGGACTATCCAGGATAGCGTTAGCAAATATGACTGGTGTAGCTATCCACAAATGAAGCTTTGCTCCGCCTACTTCGCCCA